GTTGTGTTGCACAAGCCACAGGTGCTCAAGGATCAGCAGTGGAATGCTCCAGAACCCGGAAATGGGTCTGTTCGGTGTGGAGCATGCCAATGCGAAGTTTCACAGGTCCTGCCAGGAAACCAACATGTTTTTGGCTTAATGGTCTTCCTGTCACTGACTGGACTTTGTAGGTGGTCTTGGTTGTACTTTTGGGAGACTGAGCTGGTGGCAGAGGTTTCTGAAGAATAAATTACCAGCTGACCCAGAGTCGAGGAGAGCATGTATTGGAATAGACATATCAGAGGCAGTAAGCATTACAACTATGGTGAGTGGAGTTAAATTAAGAGCAGGAGAGTGAACAAAACTCATCACATGTTGTGGAGGGCGAACTGGGCATGAGGAAATTACATGCCCACCAGCACCACAGTACAGACAGAGTCTTTGGGTCAGCCTCCTCTGCTGCTCAGCTGAAGTTAACCAAGTATTATCAACAATCATTGGCTCAGACACATTTTCTGGAGTGCTGGTGAACTCTGGCTGGTGATAGAACATGGAGGATTGCTGGCCCTATTGGTCTTCCATACAAGACTGCATACAATTCAGAACACGGATGGAGAGTTGGATTCTTGGGCTCAAGTCCCTGCTGGAAAGTGGTGAGGAGCAAGCACTCTTTCCAACAACTGGCGGCAGCAAGAGTTCTAAACTTGAGAGCATAATCCTTAATAGACATTTTCCCTTGGCGGATATGATATAGGTGCTTACTGACAGAAGTGTCTCCTTTATGGAACTTTATGGAAATGATTGACGAAGGCATCCAGGGATTGGGTTAGTGATCCTGTCTGGGCTCAGATGGATTCCGTCCATTGGAACACTCGCCCCGTCAGCAGGGAAATTATGAATAAGATCTTGGCTTGATCGGTGGTGAAGCGATATGGCTGCATCTCCAGGGCCAATGAACACTGTAGAAAGAATCCATTGCAATCCTCTGCCAAGCCAGAGTAGGGTGCTGGATTGGCCAAGTGACTGGTGATGATGGCAGGTGAAGTAGTGCTTGTGGAGGTGACAGTCCAACCTTATCTGTGAAAGTTATATCCAATCACTCAGCTTGTGTCAGCTAAAATACTGTCTTGGTATATAGTTGTTCTTTTTGGAATATAGAAAGGATGAGACATAACTACACTTAAAAGGAGTTTTGGTCACACTTTATTTTAAGTTCCAATACTCACTAAGTATGACTTTTGTCTTAATAAACTCCTAATTTGCTGCTTATTAATAGTTAGTACAGTATTTGTTAAGCTTATGTATGGGGTAGAGATTAAGGGATCTAAAATATGGTCATGCAGAATAATATTAGTACTTTATAAGTACTAATAAACAGCCAGTGTGCTAGTAATATGCATTCTAGTTAATAGTGAGAATTGGTCCTTAAAATAAAGTGTTAACATAGTTTTACATAAATCCACAGAGATTACAGGAATTACACTGGCACCGACAACTTTAGACAACAACAACAAAAATAAGATTATGATAACAAATGCATTTACAATGTTCGTAAATGCTGTAAAAGTATTCCCTTCTGAAAAAGAAGTGCTTACTTGTATCGAATGTACAATTGTAGTGTCCCTCAAATCTTAAAAAGTTTTTTTTTTAAAAAGGCTGTACTTGTAGATAATACAATATTGCTAAAATAAAAGTGTGGACTTTCCAATGTTTCTTATTTGTTTTAAAGATCATTGTATTTGGTTTTCTTAAAGGTGCTGTTTGTAAATTTTTGACTCTACTAAAGTATAAAAATACCATAATATGTTTGCAGGTATTTAAGAAACATGCTAAGTTAACATACTTGTTTATCTGAAAAAAAATGCTACAGTCAGTTATTCTCCTTTGAAAATGTGCGTTCCGGGCCGGAATGTCGGTCTCTGTTTTGGTTTGTGAAACCCGCCCACTGCCAGTTTACCAAATTGTATTTCGGCCCCCCAGGGTTGCCAGTTGGCGGGAAACACAGCGTATTTCCTGTTGGTGTCGTCAATCTGGCAACCTGCGTGTGCGTCAAGTCTGAGGAGGAGGGGCCGGGTGAAAAAAACCCTCTCCAATAGAGAAGACCAGGCCTGGGACATTTTAGTTGTTAGTTTAGTTGTGTTTGTTTATGTTTATGCGGCAGTTATCTGTGTTGTTGTTTATTACATTTATGTTAAACATCTGCTTGTTCCTGCCTCCTTCCAATAACTACGAACTTTGTTACACAGGAATTCACCTGCCCTCCACCATTGTGATGTCTCACTATCTTTTTTACTCAGATTGAGAATAAATATAAGGTGACAACGGCTACAGTTCTAGCCACAGATGAGGATCAACATCTAACACTGCACATCAGAGATCCCATACCGGCCTCACTCGACTCATATCAGTTTGCATAACTTATTAATAGTTAGTACAGTATTTGTTAAGCTTATGTATGGGGTAGAGATTAAGGGATCTAAAATATGGTCATGCAGAATAATATTAGTACTTTATAAGTACTAATAAACAGCCAGTGTGCTAGTAATATGCATTCTAGTTAATAGTGAGAATTGGTCCTTAAAATAAAGTGTTAACATAGTTTTACATAAATCCACAGAGATTACAGGAATTACATTGGCACCGACAACTTTAGACAACAACAACAAAAATAAGATTATGATAACAAATGCATTTACAATGTTCGTAAATGCTGTAAAAATATTCCCTTCTGAAAAAGAAGTGCTTACTTGTATCGAATGTACAATTGTAGTGTCCCTCAAATCTTAAAAAGTTTTTTTTTTAAAGGCTGTACTTGCAGATAATACAATATTGCTAAAATAAAAGTGTGGACTTTCCAATGTTTCTTATTTGTTTTAAAGATCATTGTATTTGGTTTTCTTAAAGGTGCTGTTTGTAAATTTTTGACTCTACTAAAGTATAAAAATACCATAATATGTTTGCAGGTATTTAAGAAACATGCTAAGTTAACATACTTGTTTATCTGAAAAAAAATGCTACAGTCAGTTATTCTCCTTTGAAAATGTGCGTTCCGGGCCGGAATGTCGGTCTCTGTTTTGGTTTGTGAAACCCGCCCACTGCCAGTTTACCAAATTGTATTTCGGCCCCCCAGGGTTGCCAGTTGGCGGGAAACACAGCGTATTTCCTGTTGGTGTCGTCAATCTGGCAACCTGCGTGTGCGTCAAGTCTGAGGAGGAGGGGCCGGGTGAAAAAAACCCTCTCCAATAGAGAAGACCAGGCCTGGGACATTTTAGTTGTTAGTTTAGTTGTGTTTGTTTATGTTTATGCGGCAGTTATCTGTGTTGTTGTTTATTACATTTATGTTAAACATCTGCTTGTTCCTGCCTCCTTCCAATAACTACGAACTTTGTTACACAGGAATTCACCTGCCCTCCACCATTGTGATGTCTCACTATCTTTTTTACTCAGATTGAGAATAAATATAAGGTGACAACGGCTACAGTTCTAGCCACAGATGAGGATCAACATCTAACACTGCACATCAGAGATCCCATACCGGCCTCACTCGACTCATATCAGTTTGCATAAAGAAACAGGTCCGCAGAGGATGCTATTTCCCTGGCTCTCCACACAGCTTTGAATCATCTGGAGAGACACAACATGTGTGTAAGGATGTTGTTCGTGGACTATAGCCATTGCTCTGCAATTGGATTCAAGATCGGGAAGACTTGGAACTTATGCATCTACCCCTCCACATTAATTACTAATGTGTACTGTTTAACATACAGATTATGACTCATAACAGTGAACATTAATTACAATTTATGAATATATGTGCAATATTGTACTGCCAAGGTGCATTATACTGCTACTGTCATACTGTCTATATTGTTTATAACTATACAATAACATTGTGAGCATTGTTTACAATAACGAACATGCGTGCAATACCGATGCTCTTTTTAAAGTACTCTTCCACCTCACTATACAACACTATATTGTGGCTCCACTACTGTTTATATTGTTTAATTTATACAGTTTTTTTTTTCATTTTACTAGTTAATTCATTATTTAGCCTACTGTTTTAGAGCTGCTAACCCCATGTCATTGTTGTGTTGTACTACTGTGTGCATACAGTGACAGTAAAGATTCTTAATCTTAAAAGTTGAACTGCTTACCTCCATGCTGAGAAATGTTAGGTCTTCAGTTGCAAATCAATTTTATTGAAAAGATCGCAGGGCAGCGCTTACAAGTTTCTGTGCGCGTGTTTGATCCTGTACTGTTGAGTCTGTACTGTATGTGTGTGCATTTATGCTTTTTATGAGAAAGAGCGAGAGAAAGAAAGTGTGCATTTCATAGATAGTAAAATGTAATTTTGTGTGTAAAACATGGAAATATTTTTTGTCGTATTGATCGTTACATTTATTTGCATGTTGTAGGTAGCTCGTAGAATAAATAATTAATTCTTCTTATTGTAATTTGGCTGCTCAGGACAAGCCTATGCATATATCAGGCCCTGCTTGTAACACAGCTACTCTTTCATTATTAATAACCTGCTATTGTGTTTTATTTAGGGTTTCACATGTGTCATTTCACATAAACACTGCTTAAAGCACAAGATTATTGTGATGTGTGATGAGAAAATGTGATTTAATCATCAACAAACATGCAAAATTTAAATTGAGCGATTTTAACAATTCAGTTAATCAGAAGCAAACAATGCAAGCAAGATTCATGCTTTAAATGAAAAGGTGACATAATTCATACCTTTTTTTTTTTTACATAAGCATACACTTTTTTTTTATCTTCCAACATGTATGGCCTCTATACATGGACAAGTGTAGCCTATAAGCTATTTTTTACAAATATAAGATGCAAAATTGTTTGTTCTCTTAGATCTACTTAAAAAAATGCTTCGTTTTAGCGATAAAAGAAAGAAAATCTTGAATGCCACACCTTTTTGTAATCAAGATATTTAGCTGTCATTAAGAATTAGTATGCAGCATAGTCTAAGCTGGATCCAAAAACAGCTGATGTTCATTCCAGTCCAAATAAGTACACATTACTCAATCACTGGAAATTATTTTCCAACAGCACCATAGGAACACTTAATGGTTGGGTCTTCTGGATGAAACACGTTAACTGTGCATGTTTTGTAATCATACTTCACAATGCAGCCTTTAGTCATGGAAGTCACTCGGCCCATCCTACAACAAAAAGCACATAATTTCAGAGGAAATGTCTTGAAATATAAAACCTACAATGCTGTTCATGATCACGGAAATACATTTCAACTCATCCCTCAGCTTGTAAACATGAATGTTTATGAAAAATGTGTTCAAACAGGCAGGCATTACCTCAGGTTTAAAGGAGATGCTGTTTTTAAAGTTAATGGAGCTAAGATGAGCTAACAATGAACAACCCTTGTGAAAAAGAATGCTATAAGAGAGTACTAAACTTTAAAAGTTTATACTTAAGTGCAAACTTAATGTTTTCGGAAACATAATAGCATATTATTTACAATTAATTATGCACGTTATTGACAATTATGTCAATATATATATATGTATAAAATACAATTATTATAGATTCAATTTATATGCAATTTGCTGAACTTAAGAGTGCTTTTTTCACCCACTTAAATAAGACTTAAGTACATTTTATATGTAATTTCATAATTGCTTGGATTGCTTATAGTGTACTACATAAGCATTCATTGTAAACTAAAATTATGACATTTCTATTGAAACTTTTATGTCATGTACGTATGTATTTTAAATATATCTAGGCCTACACATCTGTAAGAATGAAGTTGCCGTTAATACATTTCAAATATATTTATATTTTAAATGTAGAATAACACTTTAGTTAAATGATAATCAAGTATGTGCTTTAGAATGTTAGTCAACATACCAAAATAAGTGTATACTTATTTAAAGCATGGCAACATATTATTAAAATGACTTACCGTGTCCTTCAAGGTAAGACTTTTAATTTTATTTAAGTACTTGAGTGTGTTAAGAAACATAGTCATGAAAGTGTTCACTCTTTTAAGTGCATTTTTATTTCAGGAATACTGTATTATCTCTATTATATTAACTCCAATTGTTTTCGTTTAAAAAAAAAACTTAAGGACAAGGTGAAATTAATAAAACAATTTAAAAACAATATATTTAGTTTTCTAAAATTTCAACAGGAGTTAGGATTTTAAATGTCTTATGTGTCACAGCACTTCATTCCACTGGAAGAGCAGGTACAACTGACACATCTGCCGTTTGTCCAAGCACTTCCCATTGGATGCTTGGAGTTATCATAGTCATCAACACAATGTTTTTCCCCTGTTAAGAGTTAAGAAGAAATGCAGTGTTTATTTACCTAAAAGTGTACATACACCATCATTCAAATATGAGTGTTTCGTTCACTGTAAAAAATGACTGTGAATTTAACAGTAAAAGACTGTAAAAATGCTACATGTAAAAACCTGTTAAATGGTTAACGGTAAATTCCCCTAGTATATGCGGTGAAAAACTGTATTGGACATTATATGTATTTGGACATTAAATTTAGTTTCGTTCACTGTAAAAAATGACTGTGAATTTAACGGTAAAAGACTGTAAAAACGCTACAGTAAAAACCTATTAAATGGTTAATGGTAAATTCCCCTACTACAGTGGGTACGGAAAGTATTCAGACCCCCTTAAATTTTTCACTCTTTGTTATATTGCAGCCATTTGCTAAAATCATTTAACAGAAAAACACAGAATTGTTGACATTTTTGCAGATTTATTAAAAAAGAAAAACTGAAATATCACATGGTCCTAAGTATTCAGACCCTTTGCTCAGTATTTAGTAGAAGCACCCTTTTGATCTAATACAGCCATGAGTCTTTTTGGGAAAGATGCAACAAGTTTTTCACACCTGGAGTTGGACTGTAAATTTAAGTTAAAACCATAAAACCTAAAACGTTGCTACCGTATTTTTTACGGTAAAATTCCGGCAACAACAGCTGACGTTTTTTTACCGTAAATTTTACGTAATTTTTTTTTACAGTGTTGTTATATTTGAATATTTTCTGTTCTTGGGTATTTCACATGAAATATGATTCAAGTAAACACCTATTTTCTGTTAGAAAAACATAATTCAAAATAATGCAAATAAATGGTGAAAAACGTCAAATAAATTGTGTTATAGTTAGAACGTTAGATATACAGTTTCCATTACACATTTATTATTTTGAATGTTTTAACCAAAAATTTGTTTTGATGCAAAACAGCTAAGCAATGATTAACTCATCAGTTATAATGAAATGGGCAATATAAATATATATAATAATAAAAAAAACTAAGAGTGAATTTTGACTTCATGTTGACTTTTAAAGAAATAATAAAAAATATGGCTGTACGTGTGTCTGTTTTTATTTACCCAGTTTTAGACCCATAAAGAAGCAGGCAGATTCACTTAAAGAGACAAAGGCACAAAATACCAAAACCAGAGCCAAAGATGTCTGTAAAGAGAAAACTAGGAACTTATTATAGAAAAAAAACACAGTATACAACAGTAAATATTCACATATAAATTCTATAATGATCAGTAGCATTATTAAACTTACCTTTTTGCAAGTTTAGCACAGATGCTGGTCTGGTGAAATGCAGTCATTGGCACATTAGGTCTTTTTAAAGAAAACAGAAGAGGAACATCTAATTTCAACACACATCTGCACTGATCCACGTGTTTGATTACCAACTTTTACTAGTCACTTGCACTTTTATGCAGAAAACTATGTTTTATGTCTTTGATGCAAGGGAGATGGGCCCCCTATAGGACCTTTATGGATTGGCTATAGAGTGTGAAATAATAATAATAATAATAATAATAAATACTTTTTAATTAAGACTGATTAATCTTCTGTGAATATTTGTTAATGTTACCAAGTAGTTATTGGTTGCTAAATATGTGGGGGGGTTTATTGTTATTGTTGTAAGCAGTTATCTGTTTCACAACCACTCAACAACACCAGATGTTTCTTGATATTCTTACATATTTCTCAATATATGACTGTGTCAGCCTCAAGTTGTCACAATAACTGGAGGTCAGACAACAGGGTTCAAGATTTTACTGCAGAACTTATAGAATTAACCACACAAGTAATTCATTCAATTATGATCCAGCACATGGAACAATTAACAAAGTCCTTTGTATTACTAAGAGGATGAAGACAGGTGAGCGGGTAGGTAAAAGTTTGGGTAAGTCTTGCACATAAGGCTATAGATGAGACCAGACAAACAGTGTGGTCTGCTAAAGCAGTGGTTCCCAACCCTGGTCCTGGAGGCACCCCTTCACTGCACATTTTGCATGTCTCCTTTATGTGACGCACCAATTTCAGGTCTTGGAGTCTCTACTAATGAGCGGATGACCTGAATCAGGTGTGTTTGATTAAGGAGACATGCAAAACGAGCAATGTTGGGGTGCCTCCAGGACCAGGGCTGGGAACCACTGTGCTAAAGTGTTGATTATTGGAAGGTGTGAGTGAAGATTGAGTGTGTGCAGGTGGGAACCAAGAGGGATGCTGGGAAATGTAGTGCTGTGGTGAATGGGCTGGTGACTGGAGATTGTGACACAAGTGATTGTATTGCATGTATTGCATGTTCAATAACCAACTTCAGGATCTTAAATGCAAACTAGTCAAGCCCTGTGGCCTAAGTTAGTATTTTACTGCTCAATATATATGAAAGCAAAACAGTGAATATAAAAATCCTTTCTCACAGTGTTCTCCTGTTTTTAGACAACAAGTAAACACTTTACTACAATGCAGTGTTTTTCTACACACTCTTAGAAATAAAACTTCCAAAAGGGTTTTTTCACAGCCATCGAAGAACCATTTTGATTCTTCAATACTGGTTCAACAATATATAATTCAACAACACTGGCAATACTAAACAGTATCTTATATCTATGTTCTGTTCAAAGTCTTAATCTAATTATCTATTTAGAAAACTACTCACACCAAATGACAGACCTCAACAACAGTTCCAACTATACTGATATCAATTCCCAAAAATATGTCTAGGCTTTTGGGTATTTCTTTATGATGCCCAATAAAGCAGTGGATCTTGACCAGCTGATAATCAACTGCTATGAAGAATTGTACAGAATGCTGTAGGCCTAAGTCTTTTGTTTTAGTCTTTTGTATGTTTCAGTAAAAAAAGCATTTTCTTAATTTTACTTTGTATCACACACCTTCAGTGTAGATTTTCTGTGTGAATCAACTGTGGTTATGGAGGTTAATAACATGTATGTGCCAAATTCTGGTCTTCCCACATGCCACACATGGACAAAAACGATGCTTTGAAATATGCAAGTCTTAAACATTTTATTGTTTAATGTCAAAAACAAAAAAGCTCTGCACTCTAAACAAAGTCCCACATGGCTTTTGGGGGCCACATATTAATGTAGGTAAATGATGGCTACTATTAATGAGAATCTTTCACTTCCCATGTGTAATGTGCAGGGCTGAGTTCAATGATGTTTAATGACAAATACCTAATAATAGACTAGCATATAATAAGATTATTGAATGAGCAAGTTTTTAGCAGAAATTCCCATTTGTTTAGAGTGCAAAGCTTTTCTGTGATTTAGAAGTTTTTTTTATTTTTTTTTATTTAAAATGGCATATGGCTGATATGTCTTAGGGATGGATTGTCCTGGGATGCCTTGCAGTAGGGTTTGGACATATAAGTTTCATTGTGCGTCGTCCTGAAGTCATGTTTGCTGTGCCGGGGCCTGATATGGCTGTCTTTAACCTAGTAAGAGATTAGTTAAAGGTTGAAGGTCAGCTCTCAAAGGGGGAAATAGTTCAGAAATAATTATTAGCATCAGGCAAAAATGCCTTATGTCAACATAATCATTGCAATTTAATGGACACTTTTAAGTAGTGCTGTCAAACGATTATTCACGATTAATCGTGATTAATCGCATCCAAAATAACCGTTTTTGTTTACATAATATATGTATGTGTGCTGTGTATATTTATTATGTATATATAAACGCACACACACATGCATGTATATATTTCAGAAAAATATGTTGTTTATATATTAAATATATTTATTTATAATATAAATTATATGAATATAAATATAGACATGTAAATATTTTCAATATATATACTGTATGTGTGTGTATTTATATATACATAATAAATATACACAGTACACACACATATATTATGCAAACAAAAACTTTTATTTTGTATGCGATTAATCGTTTGACAGCACTACTTTTAAGTAAACTACTTGTCGACTACTTATGACATGGTTTTAACTAAATTTGGGTGGGAACAGTGTAAAAAAAAAAAAAAAACAGACCAATGTCTTTGTTCGCTTCTCATGGACTGGAGAATAAATGTAAAATTTTACCCGCTGAAGCTGACTAGGGCTCAGTTCCTGTCTTCTGGAGTTCAGGGGGACAAAATCTTTTTGCATGGTTGTAAGCATCCGATCCGACTCTACAAATACAAGTAGATTATGCGATAATCAATTACAGAGACTAACAACATAATTTACATTTCATATATTTTTTATTTACTTTTATATTTTATATATGTTTTACATAGAGTAGTTTTTATGTATATTGTTTAGTCTTTTTTTTTAAGTCAGGTAACCTAAAAATGTTCTTTATGTAGTAACATTTAAATGAACTGCTTTTATTCTACTCAAAAACATGACTGAACCAACCTGGCAACATTCAGTTGCATCAGTAAAAAGCAATTTAGGGGTCCGATCAAGTAGAACTCTTTTAAAGTAAATCTGCCCACATACACTTTTTCACAGTGTAAGGTTAATGTGACGTAGGTCATTTTAGGTGATTACTGTGAAAATACAGGTTAGCAAACCAAAAGTACCTTGCTCAAGCAACACGTGGCTAGGTGGGTAAACCGGTGGCTTGGGACGGAGCACTTCTTTGGATGGGAACTGCTCCTGTGATGCTGTGCTGTAGTATTTTCCAGCCAGATCAGGCCTCCCGAATGTAACATTGCTCAAAGTCCTGATACTGGGTCCATCCACATGCACTGGGAACTCTGAGCGGTTTATCTGATAAAACAAATATCCCTGAGTTAGAAACAACACGCTTTGTATTATTGTAATCTTTAGGCAAGAATAATTTGCAGCAGGTCACACATGCACCTCTGAGAGGAAGGACTGGTTCGTTGTTGACAGTCTCTCCTGGTTGCCTGTAAGTTTCTCTCCTTTGAACACAGAGCTGAGAGTCGGGCATCTGCGCTCCAGGTGAATAGGGCCTGGTAAAAACAAACTTATTAAAGTGACACACTTGATGAATATTTCATATGTTTACTTTCTGGAAAACTTGTCATAAAATATAAAGGTAGCTACAGATTTTTAAAACGCTTCTGAATGTATTATATTAAGTAAAAATATTACATTTGATAAATGTGTTCAAATATTGCATTCCATTGATAATGTTTAATTAATATATTAAGTTCATGCTTTCACTCCTGTGGAAAATCACTGATATTCTGCGCTGAAGAACATTTTCTACGGCATAACGAAAGGTTATTGTACATACCGCATTTGTGTGACGGAAACTCCTCGGATGATTTTGTAATCCATTCATCATCATGAAGTTCCCGAAGCTTGAAAGGCTGAGGTTTCTTTCTCTTGTAAAGCAGACTTTCAGGGCTGTTGAAAACATAAACGTTACTGATTCTCCACATGGTTTCACATTTATTTATCTCAACTAGGTGTGATAAAATGTTATTTCTAGAGCTTGAATTTTCTATAATCAGACTTGACACAATCCTATTGTTAAAATGTGGTTATTGTTAAATTGTTTTGTGTTGATGCTGCATCAGTACCTGTGGTCACCTGGCTGTCTGAAAAAGCTGGAATAAGTTGTTTGCTCGTCTTGTATTTTATCTCGGTCTCCCATTGGTACAGCTGAATACTGAACTCGTTGCTGAATGAAATACAAATAAATAAATAAATAAAATTATTGAACTGCATCTTTAATGGCACTCTCTGAAACTACCACCCGGGGCCGTCCTTAGCTGACGTGGGGCCCGGTGCAAGGTAGGGAGCGGGGCCCCCCTCGGTCTGTTCGCGATCGCGTTGTCCATTCACCGCAGGGCCCCCTCAAGCGCAGGGCCCGGTGCAACCGCACCAGTTGCATCCCCCTAAGGACGGCCCTGCCACCACCAAATGATTACTCTTGCTAAGTAATTAATTACTAGCTAATTACGTCTTCAACAGTGTAAGCTTATTGTACTAAATACTCTAAAAGAATTGGATTGCTTATTACTTTCGAAATTCCATATCAACCTCAACCCGTTGAACAATACAAGAATAGACACTGACACAAAGAAACTGCTCGTTTAATTCTTTCAAATAAATAATAGGCTATAAAATGCATAAATTAACCAAAGGGAGATGAATGCATTAAAATCATACATTTTAACATTAAATGTTAAATGTTGATGTTAAGTCCACTATTGCTATTACATAATTGTTTCATAGTTTACATAGTATTTATTGCAATTAAATCAGAAGTAACCGTAATTAAATTACAGAAAAATTATGAGTAATCCCTTATTAAGTAATTCAATTACAGTAATGAATTACTTACAAATGCATTACACCCAAAACTGCAAATGATATAGATTTACCTTCTCTATGGACTCCAGAGGAGAAAGAGGAGGACACCCGCTGTACAGGAACTGCTCTTGATAACTACAGTCATATCTGTTCTTTTTCTCCTGCCTTAGACTTGATCCAACACCTGATGATTAATAAAAAATAAAGCATCATCTGTTCAAAAAAGGCAAAAAACAAAAAGGTCAATGGACAATGTGAGTGTGCAGTACTGACCTGCGCTCCCTGGTTCCTTTGCAATAAGGATTGGAGACACCTCTTGTTTGGTGTAACTGGATCTGTATGTCGGCTCGGGATATTTTCCCTCCGGCACACTTATTCTGACTTTGGTAACTGGTCGAACAAGTTTGGCTTTAGACATGGGCAGGTACTTGAAATCAGAATGAGTGGTCACAAAGTCACCACTCCTGTCCCCAGAAGTCATTTTAAAATGTGTCCTTTGCATTGTGAGGTTGGTTATCTTAGGCTGAATGACAGGGACGGAGGTTCTGTCAATGAGTCTAAAGTGGCTCTTGGTGGTGGATTGATAGATGCCATCTGGTTTATACAAAAATGGCAAATTTGAAATTCGTGAGCAATACATCTTCACGTTTTTCCCCCGGCAGATTGCAGATAAAAAGTACAAATGTTTGACTGCAGTCTTTTGAAAGCTTTGAAGCAGCTGTTAGTCACTGATCTCAATAATTCCAAATAGAACCGCAACGTCATAATAAGGCTGGTTCTTGGCCGGAGTGGGCGGGGCGACACAGCAGACCATTTCATTGGTTCACAATACAGCAGATGCTTGAGGATGCGCGCATTTCGTTGTGTACGATTTTGTAATTTTGTGTCCGTATTACAGAAATATAAATGGGTCAGTCGGTAGTGTCTTCTTATCTGTTTTGTAACCAGTGTAATAGGATCTGTCGGCTAATGTTAATGAACAGGGCTGCGTTTCCAAAAGCATCGTAAAATCCATTGAAATCAATGGAGATACGATGGACTTTTGAAGCTTACGATGCTTTTGGGAAACGCCGCCCAGAATAAGCCTACTGAACACAGAATATACGAATATTTCAAACTTAATTATCCCGGATGTTTACATTAGGGCTTCAAACTCAGGATTTTACGAAAATTATAGCCTAATTTACTGTATTAGTAAGACATCGGACAGATTCGAAAGTAAGCGGCTGATTTTATATTGATTTATTTAGTCATTTATCAGACGCTTTTATCCAAAGCGACTTACAAACGAGGACAACAGAAGCAATCAATTGTAGTATTAAAACAACTAAAAACTGATCCAAAGCTAAAAGCTAAAACTTTATAAATACTACTTATACGCGTTTTTAAAATAAAGAAATTAAATAAAAATGACAAATGCATACAACAACATTTCAAAACTTAACATTTAAATTGAAAAACAAAAAATAAAGCTAAAACCAATTCAAAATATTAAAGAACAAAAGGTATAATAGTATACATTCAGACATAATTTAACTAAAATTTAAATAAATCACAAATGCAAATAATACAAATCAAATAACACTGCCAAACACACATGCTAAAAAACAACAACTTACTGACACATAGTAAGAAATGGTTATAAAAACTGAAACCGAAGCGAAACAAGTAATAGGAAAGAGGAGAAATAAAAAGCGATACTTATCCTTTGCCGGTGTCCTGCCCGGTGGAGTCGCACGGTAGAGTCGATGGTCTTTACACTCTTCGGTCTTCACACGAAAAGGCCTTCACGCGACCGCTGCCGCGGTAAACTAAGCTTTTTTATACCCGTCTAACAAAATACTAAATTAATTCAGCTGGACACACTTTCCTTATTTTTTCCACAACAAATGGCCAAGCAAGCGCAGACACTGACAAGATACGCGATACAGAATATTTATATGAATATTTATTAACAGACTATTTTAATGAACAATTGTGACAAATATAATATATATTAACAAGGTTAATTGTTGTCCATTGGATTGCAAGAAATGTTGAATTGACAAAGTTCTGTTGAATTACTTGTTACAAAGTGGAACAACGTTTACACTATAGAAAACTCAGATTCGCGTTTCTCTCAGGGGCGTTGCTAGGGTTGGGAGAGACAAGGAGCTTAGCCCCAATAAAAAAAATGTATAGTAATAATAATAATAATAATAAAAACCTGCCATTGTTTATTTAAAATAGGCCTACATTTTTATTTTGTACTAAGTAAAATTCGAAACTATTAACATTTATTGACATATCACTTACTGATATAAAATTCAAATTGAACTTCATTTTGGAGTATTTCTTTACTGCACAATGCACATTTCTTAATATAATGCCTGAAATGTTTTTAATATCACTACTAATAAGGATTGTATGATCTCTGTATAATATCGGTCTTTAAATGCAAGATATTTCAAGTGAACCTGAAGTATACTAGCAATAGTTCCACTTTAGCACAATTAAATATCTTTAGTTGGACTTCATCACTACTTCCACACACTTAAAGTGCATTAAGCACACAATTAGTTGTTCTGATTTAGCAGACTTTAGGTATACCAGTTTAGTATACCAAAAGTACAATTGCAGGGTATTTTTATTAAGCACATAAATATGTAGGCTAAGAATATTTAGCACAAAATAAATGTATACGTTCTGTTATACTGAACCTCACTGACCACATCATTGATGCTTTAAATTAAAATAATTTATTTGTGGATAAAGGACCAACTTTTACGAGTTACAAGCCATAGTCCACCATAGGATGACTTCATCCGACCTACTGAATTTATTCATTTTTAAGACTTAATTGTTCCCTTATTAAAATGTTGTATCAGACCAAAAGGCTCTAGGTGAAAACTGTTCATTTCACATAACTTAGTATAGTATAGTATAGTATAGTATAGTATAGTATAGTATAGTATATATGAAATAAATTAATACCTATAACTATAAAAAAAAATTATCAATTTTTTCACATATTAAGTCTAAAATGTAAAAGCAAAAATATTATTTTTCCATACTTTTCCCCAGAAACGTTTTGTTTTGCTTTTTAAATCATGAATGTACATTTGCCTCTTAAAGGGGTCATATGACGTCAACAATACTACAGCGAGAATAAAAGTTACGCCTTTTTTCTTTGCGTGAAGATGTGGTAAGAGTTGCATAATGCCGCCCAAATAGTGACGTAGACATGTGGGGGCGTGTTAGAACGAGCTGTTTTAGGTAGGCGTGGCTGACTCTTAAAGGGGTCATATGATGCTGCTAAAAAGAACATTATTTTGTGTATTTGGTGTAATGAAATGTGTTTATGTGGTTTAAGGTTCAAAAAACACATTATTTTCCACATACTTTACATTATTGTTTCTCCTCTATGCCCCGCCTTTCTGAAACGCATCGATTTTTACAAAGCTCATCGGTCTGAAAAGCGAGGTGTGCTGTGATTGGCCAGCTATCCAGTGCGCTGTGATTGGCCGAATACCTCAAGCGTGTGACGGAAATGTTACGCCCCTTAACATACTGTTAATGCCGTGTCCGGCCGGAGCGATGATTCAAAAGCATGAAAACCCATTATAAAACATCCAGCATTTCATCTAAATTAGGCCTGCTGGACCACTAGCAAAAGCCAAATATAATACAAAATAAGCCTAGAGTAATGGTTTGAAGAAAATCAAAACAAAGCACCAGAATATTTAAGTGTAGTACTTGGATAATAATACCTACTGTAATTACGAAAATTAAAAGTTTAACATCTGGAATGTAAACTCGATCCAGTCCGGGTTTCTCGCAGCGCCGCTGGCGCGGGACAGCAGACTCCAGTCCGGGTTTCTCGCAGCGCCGCTGGCGCGGGACAGCAGACTCCAGTCCGGGTTTTCCGTCGAGCCGCTGGAGCTGTGGCGCGGTAGTAAAACAAAAGACAGTCGACCATAGCTGAACCTTCATTATTGTGGATATTATTCTGTCGGAGTTTATTGTTTTCTCATCGCATGAGCTCGATTTCCTCAGTATTGTCTACATTGTTCAGAAGACCATTCTTTGGACTGAAATGACATGAAAGGAGCCTGATACTGGACAGTGAGTAACTTATTGTGTAATGAGTTAGCCTCCTAGCTAATAGCCTGCCAGACCATATTATAGCACTGGAACGACTACACGTAAACGTTTCCGGTTTCCTACGCATTGCTTCATAAGTCTGGCAATACAGGCGATATTTCAGGTACTTTATTGTGATTTAAAAGCCCAAGTGTAACAAACTAGCATGAATGTGACGGACACGTCCATGAAGCGCACTGCCCCGGATCACATCGCCACTCATGGCCCCCAACTCAAAATATTACATTCAAAGATACAACTGACCGTCATTGAACTAAGCTAAGCGCTGTGGCACCAGCCACCTCCGCATGCTGTGCTTGAGCAGTATTGGTTTCTGTTGAGACCTGTGCTTGTGAGGTTTACAACACGTCCTCGGGGGTTTAGCAGTGTTTATTGTGGTGACTTTGTTTCTGCTTTTGTTGCTACAGTAAACCTGTGGTAAGCTGTCATTAACTAAATAAATGCCAGAACGATCTGAACAAAGATCTCAGTAAGTTAGCACTTTACTCGAGTAGAAATAGCTATTAGGACCTGTGGTATTTGAGCAGAAACGGTTATCATTGTGAAAAGAGTGCACTTAACTGTATTGAATGTGCACTTGTTGTGTACTTTAAATCGTAAAAGTAGCCTATATTAAAAAAACAAAAAAAAGTGCTTCAGATAAACGAATACATTTTCACTTAATTACAAATAACGTGCTATCAAGTGTCTGAAAACATTGCATTCAGTTTGCACGTAAATGTTTTCTTTTATTTCCAGAAGTGTATTATTTCCATTATTCGTCATTTGTGACCCTGGACCACAAAACCAGTCATTAGGGTACATTTTTTGAAATTGAGATTTAGGGCTAAACACGTTCATCTGAAAGCTGAATAAATAGGCTAAGCTTTCTGTTGATGTATGGTTTGTTAGGATAGGACAATATTTGGCTGAGATAAAACTATTTGAAAATCTGGAATCTGAGGGTGCAAAAAAATTTAAATATTGAGAAAATAGCCTTTAAAGTTGTCCAAATGAAGTCCTTAGCAATGTATGATTTGACCCGTACAATGTATTGTAGGCTATTGCTACAAATATACCCCAGCGACTTAACACTGGTTTTGTGCTCCAGGGTCACATATTATAAAATGCAGTAAAGTGCTTAATGATGACACTAACGTCACACGAGTGCAAATGTTTTATTTAGGAATGCACCGATATGAAAATTTTGGCCGATACCGATAACCGATTATTCTTTATTTTTGAAAGCCGATAACCGATATGTTGGCCGATAAATCTATATCCAAATTGTTATATACTTTTTGAGAGCCTGATTACAAAAAAGGTCTCATCATTAAAAGCCACATCCCAAACACTTCAACATAAGCAGCCAGCAGGATGCTTGATACTGAGGGATTGTTTCATTGCAGGGTTGATGTTTATGGAGCAAGCGTCCCATTTTTGCGGGAGCCGCAGAGCCTCCGTGTGGGGCCCGAGGACCATGTTCCGTCCTGGAGGAGAGACGTCGACTCGTAGGATGGGGACATCCCTGCTCTTCCACCTGTCGGTTCATGAGCGAGAGTTGGACCTCGTGTTTCTTGACCACAGCTATGCCAAACCCTGGAACGCCCACCCGGATGCCAGCAGCGCGCGGCCCACCCGCATGCTGTTCGTCACCCCGCGGCGGCAGCCGGAGCCTTCTGTGTGAGTGAAGAATAGCAGAAGGATATCTTTTACCTTGTTTGCTCTTCTAATTGACATCTGTTTTGAGTGATCTGATCACAAGTTATCAAACGAGGCAGCTGTTCACACCTGCTATCAACATCTCTATGAAAGGTTTTTTTTAAGCATAATGAAATTTTATTTTTTGGTGAGCGAGGTGTTGCACAACAGCAGTTGTTCTGAAATCATAGGGCCCTAGACATTTTAAAGCTAGTTAACTATTTATCAGTAAACGTATATAAAGTCATAATATATAATGGGTTGTGATGTTATCTGCTACAGTGATTCGGACATTTCCATCGACGTAGAGATGGTCACACCCACTCCAATGCCTCTCTATGACAATCAGAAAGCCCACAGTGTGATGAACGAGTGTGAACGTCACGTTCTGTTTGCCCGAACCATCGCTGACGGACCACCTCCTCCCGATGATTGGGAAGAACACATCAACAAGTAAGAAAAGCTGCTGACAGGTCACTACAAGATTGCAGATATATGAGAACGAGGGAGCTCATATAAAAATATAGTTTTCCTCTTACATCAGATATGTTTTGTTTGTGATTACATTTTCTTCAATCTGTTTTAGAGCTGGCTGGTCATTGGCTCAGAACAAGCTCTTCAATAAAGTATTGAAAGCACTGCATGCAGAAAGACTCAGCAGACTGGCCAATGAGGGTGTGAGTTTTCAAAACTGGGTTTAACTTGCATGCTCTGTTTTGTTCAGTTAAATGTAAGAGTTGCTGTTTATCAAAGGCTGTTTCACTGGCTGTAATAGTGGTGATCTTAGACTGCATACTTGAAGTCTTTTCAGGTCCTAAGTAGGCATGGGCCGGTATGAGATTTTGACGGTATCATAACCTTAAGCAAAATATCACGGTTTCACGGTATCACGGTATTGTTGTTACAGCTCTAAAATGTGTTATTTTTAAATGACTGGGTAAAAAAAAAAACTTTTTCCCGCTGGACAAAATATATTTTGTTTTTGAGCAACATACAGAATATTAGGAACAGTAGAATTTGTTTATTTTTCTTTGATTTGTTTCCTAAAAAGAAGAAAAATAAAGACTGACATCTTTATTTAACCTAAATCTGTAAGTAGTTATTTAATTTTAGTTATATAATTCGTATACATATCATTTAGTTATATAATTTCATATACATAATTTGATTGAATAATAACCCAATTTGAAGCAAAATCAGAATGTTCTGACTAGCTTTGGGAAATTATACTACATGCCTGAATGAAGCAAACAAACAGCAGAAGCTCTGAATGAGACGCAGATTCACTCTCTTGACAGCAGGAGGCGCTTCTGGAACACCAGATACAGCATTTGAGTCCAGAACAGAGACGAGTTGCTTGCAATAAGACAAAAAACGGGTGGTTGCCGATCGCGTAAGTTCCAGGGGAAGCTCCTTAGTTCGGCCGTCCTACACGTGACTGACCGCTCGCTCGCACCAACAGGAGGAGGAGGGTCATGTTACTCTCTACACTGCACTCAACCTGAGGGATTCCTACACTTTCAGTCTTTGAGGAGACATGAAAAACAGCGCATACCGCAGGAACGGTATAACGGAAAATATTAGCGGTTTTGAAACCGTGACATTTTCACATCGCGGTATACCTTGAAACCGGTAATCGGTCCATGCCTAGTCCAAAGATGTGTACATGATCACTTCTTACCCAAACCTGACGTGCGTAAATTATTTTTTAAACAAACGAAAAACCCAGCCCGAAAATATGAAATCCCACATCAGATCTTCCTCTCTTTTTTGAAGGTAAAATTAATTCTCTGATCCTCCTCCTTACCACTTTTGGTTTGGTCATTTACAGACAACAGAGAAAGAAAATAATTATATAATAAATAAAATAATATATTATATATAAAATAATAATTATTTTATATTTTTAATAATAAAACATTTTTTACAAATGTGGGTCTTCTCGAGACCTCTATTTGGTAAAACCACATTTATTTAAAATTGCTGAGGCCCAATCACAATATATTTTTCCGTATCATACTATATTGATGATATTTATCATGATGTTCATTAATGGGGAGGAAATGCTTTCCACTTGCTTATTAGGCATCGACAATGAATTTAAACAACTTGTTTCTTTACAATTAAACTATTTTAATTTAGGGCCCCATGAAATCTGTTTTATTTTCTTCAAGTTTTTTAGTTTTCCATTTTATTTTTCTGGATTCTGTGTTTTATGATTTATTACAAATTAATCATCAAAAGGTGTGAAATGAAATAATTCAACTTTAACAATTTAATCAATCTTTTACATTTTTATCAAATGAAAGTATAGCAATTCATTTGGATGAAAATTGCCTTGGTTGCGTGATATTCCTTAAAAATAATAATATGATTATGTTGAGAAGTACATTTTAGTATATAGTAGTAATATATTTCTGTCATAATTTCTTCAAGTTAAACCCAACTTTGACGTGATGAAGGTCTTCCAGTTTTAATTGTGTATTTGGAAACTCTAGAGATGAAGTTCATGTCCTGGTATATTGAGATGCAGATGCTGAAAACACTGTCAGTGTCACATGTTTGAGTTTGTGTGTCAGATGAATCTATGCCATTCATTCACACAGAGACCCACAGATCATGGCTGCTGTTGCCTTTATTTCTGCTGTGTGATAGACTGTTAAATGTCCAGAGCTTATCATCATTATCAATATAAATTTTATCGAGATCTCGATATGATATTGTTTATCATCCAGCCCTACTAATGTCAGTATCAGTTTAATGTCAACAACAAAAGATATGAGATCCATTGTTCCCTTTTTCAAAGTTGGTAGTCCTATTTGTTTAGCTATGCATGATTATTTTCTTAGTTTAGATTATTTGCTTGTCGCAAATTGTTTTTGTCCCTGCTGACAAAAATGAGAAACCAAATGAGAAACATGATGGTTGTTCTAATGCAAACGTTCTCTCACTCACTCTCTGTGTCTCTGCTCTTCACAGGCTTGTAATGAACCGGTCTTACGCAGGATAGCTGTGGATAAATGTGCTCGTAAGGTCCGCCATGCTCTGGCCAGCATCAACTGGGACATAAAGCTGACACATTGGCTTCACAGCACACTTGTGGAGTCTTTGAGTCTTGCTATGCTGGCGGCTTACCTTGATGTATTGCAGACACTCAAAAGCAAGGTGGGATGCTTTATTATTATATTACCACTGTTTGTGTAGAGTCCATAGCAGGAGGTTACAGAAGACTGTTTTTATTCTCTTGTGACATCTCCACATTTACCCTTTTAGGTACCATCCCTGATCGACAAGATGTTGCTGTCATCCTCTGTAAAAACAGGAGCGGCAGGGTCTGAGGCTCTTTCTCTGCTCCTTAAGCGGCCATGGGACCCTGCTGTGGGTGTGCTATCACACAACAAACCAGTATGTACTGTTGCTTTAGTTCCTCTTATCCCTATACTGTATCATATTTGATATATTAGATTTTTAAAGGGGTCATATGATGCGATTAAAATTTTCCCCTTCTCTTTGGAGTGTTACAAGCTCTTGGTGCATAAAGAAGATCTGTAAAGTTGCAAAGACTAAAGTCTCAAATCCAAAGAGATATTCTTTATAAAAGTTCAGCCACGCCTACCTAAAACGGCTCGTTCGAACACGCCCCCACATATCTACCTCAGTATGTGGGAAGATTTGCATAACGCCGACCAAATGTTCACGCGAAGAAAGAAGGCGTAACTTTTATTCTTGCTGTAGTATTGTTGCCCGCCGCCGCCGACACCATGTCGTGAAGACGCTGTGTGCTTCGTTGTGAAAGTGAAACTACTTTGTTTGGCCTTCCAAAAGAGAACACGACTAGAAATGGGTATCATCACAGTATGTTAAGGGGCGTAACATTTCCGTCACACGCTTGAGGTATTCGGCCAATCACAACGCACTGGAAAGCTGGCCAATCAGAGCACACCTCGCTTTTCAGACCGATGAGCTTTGTAAAAATCGATGCGTTTCAGAAAGGCGGGGCATAGAGGAGAAACAATAATGTACAGTGTGTGGAAAATAATGTGTTTTTTGAACCTTAAACCGCATAAACACATTTCATTACACCAAATACACACAATAATGTTCTTTTTAGCAGCATCATATGACCCCTTTAAGGCATCTAAATGATCAACACGTTCAAAGCTTTCCTAATAAAACTGTTGTATGCAATCTACTACATGCCTTTTGTCGTCCGATTAGTAGTTCATACATTTTTGGCAAATAAAAGGTATCTAGTAAAATGTGTAGTTTCTTTTAGTATAACTGTATGACTGTATAACTAAATGTCCCCTTTCAGGTTGTGGTTCATGGTGCATTGCATCATTTGTTTGCATATAAATTTGTATCAACATATGCACCAAATTGTTTGTTTGTGGTATGATTTCTATAATATAAAAGACTTTAACTGGAAATGTCTGTTTTCTGAATCTAATCTGAATATTTATGTTTATGTTTTCAGAGTAAACTTCCTGGATGCCCCCTGATCCTGATAGCTCCATCAGGACCAACAAACCCCGCCTTCTCTACCTCTCGACGAATGAGATTCTGGCAATCTCAGCTCTCCTGTCTAGGGAAGGTATGCAAAATCACAGGCAAATACAGCTGTCACAAACACTTTGATTTTGTGTTCATCATAATTTTTGATTTAGGCTTGGTTTAATTTAGATTAGCATCATTTGTAAATAAAATATTGTATTAATGTTATCATTCTTGCATTCATAGAGTGATTTTAGGTTCTGATTCAAATAAAACTGATTCAGTGTTTTGTTTTTGGTGATTCAGGTCATTCCCATTAACGCTCATGTGGGCAGTGGAGCCAACATCGGAATCACGCAGTGTTTAGAGCACATGATCGGCACAGTCAGAGGAAAAGTTATTGAGGTACAAAATAACACACAGGACTAGCTAGCCAATTACACTTTTGCTTTATAGGAAAATATATGGAACACTTTTTATTTTAAGGTGTCCTTGTTACACAGGTTACATGCGCTTACTATTATAATAACATTCAATTATGCATATTTACAAGCAGGTTAACCCTAAATCAAACCCTAATCCTAACTCTAACCGTATAGTTAAGTACACGTAGTTAATTAATTTTACTCGGTACTTAAATGTATACATACACTGTGACAAGTACACTTTAAAATAGTGTAACCAAGTATATAAATCAGCAATGTGATTTTTCTGTTGCCTATTTCTGTATTTTCTGATCTCAGGCATATGATTCTTGTGAATTGCATATATGAGGAAAATTGGCTGCATTTATTTTATGTGTAGTGTAGCTTTCAACAGCACCATTAAGAAAAATAATATATATATATATATATATATATATATATATATATTGTAGTTTCTATATATTATTAAAACACACATTTATTATTTGTCATTGTGTTTTAAATGATTCTGTTCTTGCCATAAAATGAATCATAGGTGATGACATGGCAAATAATAAATAAACCATGAGGTGTATTTAAAGATTTGTTTATTTTTTGCTGTAGGTTCACAGTCACTTTCCTCACAAGCCGATCATCTTGGTGGGCTGGAATGTGGGCTCATTGATCTCTTGTCAGGTAAGTCTCTCTTAACATTAGTTTTCTGAATTGTAGCCTATGATCAGCTGTAAAATGATGAATTTATAGATGTCTGTGTTTGCGTCCAGGTGTCCCTTATGGAGTATGTGACTGCTGTTGTGTGTTTAGGTTTCCCTCTCCAAACCGTCAATGGGCCCCGAGGGGTAAGAGGAAACAGTTCATAGTTTCTCCCTGCTTTTTGCCATGATGAGCAGCATGAAAACATTTAGCAGATACATTAGCATTGCTGGCTGAAGTATAACGTTTGTATTGTGTTTGTCAGGATGTTGATGATCCACTGTTGGACATGAAGACTCCAGTGCTGTTTGTGGTCGGTCAGAACGCTCTTCAGGGCAGTCCTGAGAACATGGAGGAGTTCAGGGAGAAGATTCAGGCTGATAACAGCATGGTAGTTGTTGGAGGGTCAGATGAAAACTTGAGGTTTGTGTCTTCAGACATTCACACGTGTGTCTAGACATTAAAGAAGGGCTGGGCAATAAATCGATAACGATAATTATCGCGATATAATTTTCCCTGATAAAACGATATGAAGAGTTTGATAAATGTTCGTTATAATGTTTATGTGCCAAAAGTGGAACTAAACCACGCGACTTATTTGAATCGCACCACACGGACCGTTTATCCGCTCGGATCACAGTTCGAACTGCTGCGCGGCACAAGCTCACTAGTGCAGACGTGTTCCAGCGCTGTGAGATCCAGCTGTGAAGCGTGAATCAGAGAAGAACACAAATGACTTAAACGATGAAACAGCGCTGACAAACAGCAGAAACACTGTGTGTAACGATAGAGTCAGCAGGCTTTTCAATCTACAAATCGTCATCATTTACCATGGATTTGCTGTAGTAACACTAACTGCATCGTGGTATTGTGTCAGAAATGTGGGTATTTGTATCGAATTTTATTACATTATTAATGTAGACATGAATTAAATGTATTAAAAGTAGTGCTGTCAATTAATCGCGATTAATCGCATCCAAAATAAAAGTTTTTGTTGACATAATGTATGAGTGTGTACTGTGTATATTATGGATACATAAATACACACACACACACACACATACAGTATATATTTAAGAAAAATATGCTATGTTTATATATTAAATATATTTATATAATAACATAAATATATAAATGAATATATGTGTAAGTATTTTCAAAATATATACTGTGTGTGTGTATTTATATATACATAATAAATAAACCGTACACATATTGTATGTAAACAAAAACTTTTATTTTGGATGCGATTAATCGTTTGACAGCACTAATAAAAAAATGTAATGGAATATAATTACAGTATTTTTCTAATTAAACTATAGCATGTGTGCATTTAGCCTATGCTAAATGTTTTTAGACTACTGTTTTTCATACAAATACCTAAAAACCATATAGTTATATTTTTACTATGGTATGCTATATGTGTGGTTTTTAACTGTTTGTCATGATTTAAATTATGCTACTATAGAAGACCAATGATTAATTAAAAGAAAAACTCAGAATAATGAAATTTCAGCATATAAAAATGAGGTTGCTACAATTTTTTACAGATGTTACTGATTATCAAATGTGCATTCCTAGGAGACAAAAAAGTAATATTTTTATTATTAATGTTATCAGGCAACACAAACCTGTTTCTTGGTTTGAAACAATATTACATGCAGAAACTAAGAAATTAATGTTTCTATTAAGATGTTTATTTTGTTAAGGAAAATTAATGGTCTGGTTTCTACAACTTTCACTTTGGAGCAAAAATCTGGCTTTAAACTTGAAAGAAATAAAGATTGACATTTATTGTGATAATTATCGTTATCGACTGATATGAAAAAAATGATCGTGATAATTGTTTTGGCCATATCGCCCAGCCCTAGTTGAAAGCGTTCGGCTTTGTTTGCAGGATCAACTCCACTAAGATGAAGACAGAAGGCCTGACGCAGACCATGGTGGATCGCTGCATTCAAGTCCGTACTTCTCACTTCTCTTCCCCACAAAATTAATAAGCATAGTATTCAAATCAGTTAAGCATGATTTCACATGTCATTCAGAGTGAAAATAAAGGCCAGAACCAGCTAAAGTCTAATTTTAGGGAAAGCTGAATTTAAACGTTCACTCTGATACGTGATCTGTCTTGTGTGTCCCCTCTGTAGTCTTTAGCCATAATCTTTTCCCCCCCTTTGTTTTCAGGATGAGATAGTTGATTTTCTGACAGGAGTTTTGACCCGTACTGAGAGCCATGGCCACGGCTCTGGTGAAACTCGAGATTTGGATGCCGAGAAGAAGAAGAAACCACGTCGTGAGCTGCCCTTTGACCTTGAGAGGTCACGACCCTCTTCACCTGCTGTGAGGGTACCTATCTCCCCATCGGGGTCAGAGGTAAGAATATTATTTGGAAAACAAATGTTGGATACACCAGGAGATATGTGTAAGCTTTGTCGGCTTTATCTTCAACTACATAAAAAACTTCTATTCGGCAAAATTTTTCCCAAATTCTATTTCATTTTTTTTCCCCGAATCCCAACTGGATTCTGTTTTAATGGTTACATTAAATTGTAATAATCAAAAAGTATGTTTAATTGAATTAATAAAGCCTTTTTTAGACTTCTCTGGATTTGATTTTAAACAAATATATTATAAACAGTGGTCAAATGAAGACATAAAACATTAACAATTTGATCTTTTAATAAGTAATCAAATAAACATCTTAAAAGTTATTTATTTTTTGGGCAAAGTGTTCCAGAACAGAGATTTACTCTTTAAATTAAAACATTGAGGAAAAAAAAAGTATTTTTCCTTAAAATAATAATAATAATAATAATGACATTTCCACATCACGGAATTCATAGGGCCCTAAAAAAACTCTAGTAACCACATATTAACAACCAATCAGAACATGTAGTTTTAGTTAATATAAAGAGGCAGTGGATCATGTGAAGTAATTCAGACATCTGCAGTAATGTTTTCCCTGCAGGATATGTCCAGTGTCTGCAGCAGTCCTACAGCCAGTCCCAAACCCAAGATGGTCGGACTTTCTCCAGCTCAGAAATCCAGTCTCATTACTGCCACACAGCTGCTGAAGACCCACATGCAGCGCTCAGGAACTGTGCTCACACACAAACAAGCACAAGGTGTGTAAACACACAGATTCAGCCCCAGAACCCCACACACAGGATGCATTTTTGTATGCGCTGTTATTTGTGGTGTTAAAGTTGTTTTTGCCTGGTGGGATACAAATGCGTGAAATATATGACTGGCAACCAATTTTATACCTAACTCATAACAAAACCAGTAGTAATGTGTTTCTTGTCCCCTGCCTTTAGCTCTATTTTTGTTTTTGAATGCAGTGTGTATCTGCATAACTGAGTCATGTTTATGCCTGATGGGCCTCTTTTAACCCTGAGCTGTTCTGCCGGTGCCTGTGCATGTTAAATGATAAGGGCTACGCAGTTTACAGTTGAAAAGCTAACGTTAACCCTCTGGGATTTGCAGTTACGTCCTCCCTGTATTGAGGAGAATCTCAAATCCCATCAAGCAGTAATGTTGCGTGTGATTCCTGTCTTTTCTATCCCCTCTACATTCCTCCTTCACTCTCTCCATCTTTGTCTTTCGTTTGCTACAGCTCAGTTCGCTGCTTTTATGAAACACAATATGCTGGTGAAGAAAAGCATTCCTCCTGGCAGCCCATCATGTCTCTTTGGTGAGTATCTATCAATCTCTTTTTCCTTCTGTCGTCCATCAGTCATCTTCAGTCAAATCCTTTCATCCTTACTTTTACTGTTTCACCAGCTTGTGTTTGCTAAAGGCACAAACAATAGTGAATGCTTATAGTAATGACTGCTTGCAAACTTACACTCTTCTTGGCAGAATGCATCTTAAATCAGTGGGAGAGGGTAAAAAAAAAAAAAAAACTCTAGACATATTTTTTTTTGTTATTTTCCCTAACAGAACAGGTGCACTGTTTGGCTTTTGACCCTTCAAAACTTTTAAAGTAGTATTTGACTGATAAATCGCATAGGCCTATTTATTTTTCTTAAACAGTGTCTATTTAAACTAAGTGCAAATATTGTATTGTATTATACAAGTATTGTTGGCAGAAGCTATTTACACTTACTCCACCCACTAATGAGTGATTGGGCTTGTCAACACTACAAAAGACGATTATCTAACAACGGCTCCAGTGGTGTAGGTGGTAAAGCGCGTACCACAGTCTTTTCCGAGTTCCAAGATTTACACTCAAAACATTATTATTGCATACTGTTTTATAACGTACTACAATACTGAGGTGCAGATAATTGCCACTATTTGCAATAAGTAGTATAAAGTGTGTAAATAGGGCTGTGCAAAAAATCTAATGATTTTCGTGCGAATTACGTCAGTAAAGCTGGTTCGGTGATTAGTAGTAAATATCCAGCACGTGCTTTCAGATGGGTCGGCATTTACTACACAGAGCCGTAGATCACTGACAAGCTTCTCAAAATCACGTTCATAATCTGCAATGAATCGGCTGCGATTTTGAACGCGATTTTGCGTAGCTTGTCAGTGATCTACGGATCTGTCTAGTAAATGCCGCTCCATCTGAAAGCACGTGCTGGAGATTTACTACTAATTGCCACTATTTGCAATAAGTAGTATAAAGTGTGTAAATAGGGCTGTGCAAAAAATCAAATGATTTTCGTGCGAATTACGTCAGTAAAGCTGGTTCTGTGATTAGTAGTAAATCTCCAGCACGTGCTTTCAGATGGGTCGGCATTTACTACACAGAGCCGTAGATCACTGACAAGCTTCTCAAAATCACGTTCATAATCTGCAATGAATTGGCTGCGATTTTGAACGCGATTTTGCGTAGCTTGTCAGTGATCTACGGATCTGTCTAGTAAATGCCGCTCCATCTGAAAGCACGTGCTGGAGATTTACTACTAATCACAGAACCAGCTTTACTGACGATTTTTTGCACAGCCCTAAGTGTAAATATAATCTATAGCTATTTGCACAAAACGCATCGCTAAAAATGCTATATGCTTCACTTAGTGCAAATAGCCACTGCCTTTTTAAACAATTGGCATTGACCAAAATGTTTTTCTGTTTGGCTCATAAGAGTCAAAAGTAGGACTTATTTTGACAGTTGAAAACCCATCTCCCATTCTCTGTCTTCATTAATGTCTTTGTTTAACAGATCTGTCTAATAATTGAAAGGTATACCCTATAGTACTTTTTCATATGTTGTCGGCATTCTCAAGTCTTTGAATATCTAATAAACAGTAGCAAGCTTCTGCAAAGCCAGCTGTTAGATCTTCTAGTGTGCATTGTAACCTGCATTAAATATGTGTGATGGTCCATCCATGCAAAGGATCCTTTGTGAATTAGATGCGGACAGGAGAGTTCAAATGTCACTGGACATGCACATGCAAGCAACATTAAATTCTTGGTCTCAATCTATGCTGCACTTACGTAGTTTGCCACTGTGTGCTGTATGTAAAATGTCACCTGGCTAGTGCACACGGATTAACCAGATTTCCGAGTACATTGCTGGTTACAGTGTTTACTTCAGTGGGTTTTTATTCAGGTTTTTAACAACTTTTGTACTTGTTAAATACGTATACTATTAATAGAAAATTCTCAAATTTTTTCAAATTAATCTGTATGAACTATCTCAGCAAATGTTATGTAAAAAAATATGAATTTAATTGTAGAAATCATGCATGTGCAAACTTAAATCTTTAAATTAAATATTGCGATATTGGCTTTATATCGGCCATTGGCCACCCTGCTTTCTAAGATATCAGCATCAGCCAACAAAAAGTTTATATCAGCTGAACACTTTTATGTATCAGCTATTGTTTAAGTTTTTATATTTGGTTTAAATGCAATTTCCAAAATTAAGTTCAATTCCACTTCTCTCCACTTATTTATTTAGTGGGACAATAACTATGATGTACCAAAATGAAATTTCTTGGTCAAAACATAAAATGTTAGATACTAGACATTAAACATGGATCATTTCACACAAACGTTGTTTCTCCAAATCCTTTTATCAGATTTGAAGTTTTTACTACTTTGCAAGACGCTCGTCAAAAGTACAAAAGAAGTACAGTACACTTTAATTCTGATTCACTTCTGCAAATAAGGCCAGATAATTTTCATACTAAAATTGTGAACTTAATGGTCCATATGAACTATGCACCCCTGTTGTTAAAGCTGCAGTCCGTAAGCTTTGCCTCTTTGTCGCCATCTCTGTTTGAAAACCTGGAATTGCAGCTGAGTGCGGAATTATCTAGTTTGCGTGGGTTGTGAGTCGGCACGGCTCCAGCGCAGATGAATCTAATGTTCTGAGGAGTATGTGTGTGTGGCAGTCAGTCACTGCAACGGTGTGAATATTTACTGTACTTCGCAATCACAGATTCTAGCCTATGTCTTGGAATATGACCCAAATAAGAATTTTCACCGTATATTGCCATCTGAACAAGTAACAAGTCTGCCACGTTTGTTCTGACCAACTGAGGAAAAAAGCATTACAATAAATCACGCTACCAATGGTGATTAAATCTAAAGATTGGTTAGCTCATATCACATCAAACCGTTCAAATTATTATTATTGTTATACGCAGCAGCATGCTCGAATTTCCCGCGAAAACCTACCCGTACCACTCAAATTAGAAAACATTATTATAAGCTAACCATTGTGAATCGGGCTAAAGTAAGGCGATAGTTTTGAACACTGGCTGGTTATGTACTTCCTCAAATATTGATTTTGGATCATTTTTAACCAAAAAAAAGTGCCGGACTGCAGCTTTAAGCAATCTTGAGTGCATTTCCATGTTTTGCACTGGAGTTCAGAAAGCATCTTTCACACAAACCAAACACTGATGTTGAAATGACTTTGGGTCTGAATGCATCGAAAGCATCTTAATCTGTACCCACAGACCTCTGCGGTATTTCATATTGCCTGTATTGGCACCTTCTGAACCCTCAGTGAGCTTGAGACTGTTGATGCTTAACCCTTCAGCATTTTTTGTTTCAGTGCCGTTGCCCAGTGAGCAGGTGGAGGGTTTGGACCGAGACGATCTGAGGCTCCACCTCAAGAGAAGACAGACTCCTAGTCCCACTCCCACCAAAGCCTCCAAAAGAGCCAAGATCAAAGTCACCATCATCTCCCACGGAGACACGGCGGGAAGCACGGCTGGATCCACTTCTCAGGACGGTAATGAAAACACAGGCCTCATTCAGCCCACTGAGCCACTGGTTAAACTATATGAGGTGTATTGATGCATTTGGGCAGAATGAGAAAATGTTGTGCAGTTTTCAGTCAGATTGATGACTTTATAGTTCACCCTTTTTTACATTTATTTTCTTCAAAATATCTTCTTGTGTTCAACAGAAGAAAGAAATTCATACAGGTTTGGTGCAACTTGAGGGAGAGTAAATGTTGACAATTTTCGTTTTTAGGTGAACTATGCGTTTCAGGCCTGTTGTTAAGCCATTGCTTTAATTATTTTTGCTTGTATAAGCAAGGCTTAGACATCAGATCCACACAACATACACTACATGTTATCTCCTTTATGAGGTCCCTTGTTTTGTTACTTTACTCTCTGTGTTATAACAAAACATTTATTTCAGTGGAAACAAGTCCAAACCTCCCAATTTCATCATTTTGTTATTTATTTAGAAATTTTATGCACTAGACAAAATAATTCTAATGTCACAAATAATATTCTCAAGGTTTACTGGGTTTTATATGATTCTTTGATTATTTTGTAGTGTAGGTTTGGTGAAGTGTACTAAAAACAAACATTTTTCACAGTCTTCCAAATTGACCCACAACCTAATCAGTGTGTACATAAAGAAATTAAGTCATTCATCAACTCATTCATCACGCGAGTCAAGTTTTGAGAGTTGTACTGACAAACTACTACTTCTCACCTGATTCCCAATGGTTTTAGAGGACAATTACTCCTAGTTGTCCCATGTAATTTCAAAGAGTAGTACAATGGCTAACGCAACAAGTATATACGGCTTGCACGCGTACACAAGTGCAATCAGCAGAGGCTCGCGATGCAGAGCCAGGCATAAGTATAATCAAGGCGGTCACAGACCGGACACCGGACGAGAAGCACATCTCACCTAGGACATCTCGCAGGCATCCCACACCAGACGCGTCACATTCAGTTAAAAAAAGACAGCAGTCCAAAACAGTGCGTCTAATCACCAAACAGGCAAAAGTTCACTTCAAGAATCTATACTTGCGTAGAACGTAAAATTTGGAAAAGGTATCTCATACTGTCTTGCTGCCTCAAGGTGTTTACATTTGTATTGGTATTTTTTGTGCAGTGGGTTTGTCAGGAAAGCCCCTTGGACTGACAGTGGGCCAGACGGTATCAGGGGCCAAAGAGCTGTCGGAGCTTCTCAGTGCACAAAGGTACCTTTATCTTTTCACACCAGACTGTACAAGAGAAACAAAGACACTCTCATGCTCTTTACACCAACACAAATATACGAAAATGTAGTTGAAATTAAATGCATACAAAATGGAATGAAAATGCAGATTCCTTCTGACAATAGTTGGCACTTACAGAAAAGCAGAAATACCCAGGTTACTCGGGTACACAAAGTGATTCTCTTAAAATAGGATTTACATGCTTTTAACAGCTGTTCAGATTTTTGTATTTGTGTCGGTCTGAACAGTGCATTAACAGCAGTTCACTCAAATTAAAATGCTTCTCACCAAATTTTCCCACGGAACATTCATGATGGTGTGAACAGGATTTGAATCTTAAGGAAATGACCAGTGCTGTTTGTATTCTTGTGTAACGATGATCTTGCTACATCGCCTAATTGTTGATTTTTTTTTTTGATAGCTGTTGTGACATTTGTGTGATTTATGCGATGTCATGCCATATGTGACCCTGGAGCACAAAAGCAGTCATAAGTAGCACAGGTATATTTGTCGCAATAGCCAACAATACATTGTATGGGTCAAAATGATAAATGTTTTCTTTTATGCCAAAAATCATTAGGATATTAAGGAAAGATCATGTGCCATGAAGATATTTTGTAAATTTCCTACCGTAAATATATCAACACTTAATTTTTAATTAGTAATATGCATTGCTAAGAACTTCGTTTGGACAACTTTAAAGGCAATTTTCTCAGTATTTTGACCCCAAAAAATGACCCTTATGACTGGTTTTGTGGTCCAGGGTGGTCCAAAAATGTTCCAGCACTTAACTCCATTACCCTGCATCTGCACTGTATTTTGTAAGTTTCCACTTATACATACAACTCATGTATAAACTTTTAGGAAAAAAAAAATGGTCTTGCTCTTAGGTCAGGTTTGGCAGACGTGCCTGGAGCTTTGTGTTCCAGTGAAGGGCCGTTTCACAGCCTGCAGGGGAGCGTGATGTCCGGTTCTTCCTCTCCTGTCCAGGCTCAGGCCCCTGCCACTGCACAAGGTGCCACCACCATTACATTCTGCCAACAGGGTCATCTGTAAGCTCTTTGCTTCTATTAGTGTTCATTTCGTTTATGAAAATTATGATAAATATAGGTTCGTTGATTACTTAGACGAGACAACAGCGATATCATTAAACACTCCGACTATATCAACATGCAGTATTGTTGATGGGAAAAAAGACGAGACCAACTTAATTTACAAAAACAAAAAACAAGCCTCTCGAGTTTTATTGCTTGGGGTTGCCAGATGTCAGGTAACAAAAACAATAAAAACTAATGATGGATTATTAATACATAGTTGTTTGGTCAAATGCAATACAAAGTGTTGGACTGTATACGGTATGCTAATATTTAGTATTTTTATGCAGCAAGAAGAATTGATCTTGTTGAGGAGATTTAAGACAACAATTTGATTGACAATGTAAACTAAAGGGTATTTAGATGGACAGCATTATTATAGCATGTTTAATAGTGATAGTATCCTGTATGTAGTATATAACCGTATGCAGTATAGTGTTATTCGATCAATATAGGTGGAGCTAAAACTGAAAAAGTATGAACAGGATGGCCTGTTTCGCTCTTTCATAGGAGTCAGGAGTCAAACTATGAAATGCCTCTAAAAGAAGACAAACAAAAATGTTAGTTTCTGCTGTTCTAGTTAATTGTACTTTTGACTATAGGCGGTGAATTAAAAAAACAAATTCTGATTTGATCACCTGTGTTGCTCCTATGAGTTGCATTCACCCGCTTCATATATAAAAACATTAATTTATTCATTACTTGTTCATGGTAAATGTGCTTTATCACATTACAAGTTGTTGCTGCTGAGGTAGACACTTTCTCTGTTGTCTCTTTGCTATGTCTGTAGAAATGGTCGTTCATTCTTAATTTGGGTATGGCACAGACATGTTACAGGTAATAATATAATCAAAAAGAATCGTGGCAACAAATGATGTAAGTCAGTTTAATAAGTTGAACCAACTTTCACAGCCAATTTGATTCAACTTAACTCATGTTTAACCGTTGCTTCTTGTCATTGTTGGCGTAGGCTACTTTTTTCAATGAAGTTGAAATTAATTTGATTTTTGTTACAAATTGTTCATTCATTTATTTTTAACACCGCACCCCCATTTTTTTCCGTGGGCTACACTGCAGGGGGTGCACCTTTTTTGTTTGTTTTAAGATATTTCATAGTATGAGATCCCTGTAATGTGTGTATGTGAGTGAGGTCCTGCATGCCTCCACAGGTATAATAATACAATACCTTTTTTTTTCCCCCAAACAGCTTATAAATCATGATGCTTTTTGAAAATGTAAAGAACTGCAGGAAGTTAGTAGGGTTGTGTTTAGGGGTAGGGTTATTGAATAGAATATACTGTTTGTACAGTATAAAATTCTACCTGGTTTCACAGACAGGGCTTAGACTAAAACTAGGATTAGGCCATAGTTCAATTAGGATATTTAAGTCATTTTTATAAACGTGCCTTAGAAAAAAACATTACTGGTGTGCATCTTAAAGGGGTCATATGATGTTGCTAAAAAGAACATTATTTTGTGTATTTGGTGTAATGAAATGTGTTTATGCGGTTTAAGGTTAAAAAAACACAATATTTTCCACATACTGTACATTATTGTTTCTCCTCTATGCCCCGCCTTTCTGAAACGCGTCGATTTTTACAAAGCTCATCGGTCTGAAAAGCGAGGTGTGCTGTGGGCGTAGGCTACTTTTTTCAATGAAGTTGAAATTAATTTGATTTTTGTTACAAATTGTTCATTCATTTATTTTTAACACCGCACCCCAATTTTTTTCCGTGGGCTACACTGCAGGGGGTGCACCTTTTTTGTTTGTTTTAAGATATTTCATAGTATGAGATCCCTGTAATGTGTGTATGTGAGTGAGGTCCTGCATGCCTCCACAGGTATAATAATACAATACCTTTTTTTTTCCCCCAAACAGCTTATAAATCATGATGTTTTTTGAAAATGTAAAGAACTGCAGGAAGTTAGTAGGGTTGTGTTTAGGGGTAGGGTTATTGAATAGAATATACTGTTATAAAACTCTACCTGGTTTCACAGACAGGGCTTAGACTAAACTAGGATTAGGCCATAGTTCAATTAGGATATTTAAGTCATTTTTATAAACGTGCCTTAGAAAAAAACATTACTGGTGTGCATCTTAAAGTGGTCATATGATGCTGCTAAAAAGAACATTATTTTGTGTATTTGGTGTAATGAAATGTGTTTATGCGGTTTAAGGTTAAAAAAACACATTATTTTCCACACACTGTACATTATTGTTTCTCCTCTATGCTCCGCCTTTCTGAAACGCGTCGATTTTTACAAAGCTCATCGGTCTGAAAAGCGAGGTGTGCTGTGATTGGCCAGCTATCCAGTGCGTTGTGATTGGCCGAATACCTCAAGCGTGTGACGGAAATGTTACGCCCCTTACTATACTTTTATTTTTGGGCGGGCCTGGGCAGAAGTGAGCGGGGCACTAGGCTAACTAAAGGACAGTCCTGTGGTTCAGCGCAAATCCGGGCCCCCAACCGCAAACTCAAGGGGGTTATACATGCAATATTGTAAATATTTCTTTTAAACCAGGAAGGTGAGCCAATGAGATCACACAAGCAACGTGCAAACTTTGCGCAAGCGTTATGCGGTGAACCTCTTAATCTTAGTCGATTCTCTAGAAAGTGAAAGTAAAAACTGACGGCGCTTCAGCTATCATTACCGGCACGTATTCTCTCAGACAAGCTCCCTTAATATTTCTCTTGTGGCCCGAACATAGGCTAGTGGGAAAAAATAAATAAATAGAGAAGAAATGTAGGCTATTTCGTGTTAAACAGGGTTTTTTTTCTTTTTAAAAAAGTCGGTGCTTGAAATAAAGTTTTTTCCTTGATGACTGCAGTGTTAATAATTTTAATTATTATAGGCTAGGCCTAATTCATTGTATAATAAACCTGTTTTGAAAGACCTTTTAAAAAACATTTTCAATGAGGAGTAAGCTAGCCTAATCTTTATTATCCCCACAGCGCGTCAGTTATGCGGCGATGCGCTATGAAATTATTGCGGGGCAAATTAACTGTAGCCTAATATTAATTTAATAATAAAAGTAACTTAATACTAATAGGCCTAATAGGCTAATAAGAAGAATGTAACAGGCCTATGTTAATTAAAAATGCCAAATTAGATATAACTAAAGTGTATACAATTATTTTATTCAGAAATGTCATGTTTGTGATTTTTTATTTATTTTTTATGTTAATTCGTTATTTAAATTAATAGGCCTACTAATTAGGAAACAGGTGCAGTTAATCGCCGGCGTCAGTCACAAAAATTATATAATAAAATAATAAATAGTGAGGAAGACTGGCAACAGACACCGCACACCAAACGACTTTGAATACGACTGAAAACACTGACTGCGCTCAAATGACATTCATAATCGGCCTGACAGATAGGGCTGTTCATTCCGAAACTTTTGGAATCGAATCCGATAACGATTCCTGGTTCTGGAATCGATTCCTCAGTTGTTTTCGATTCTTGTTTTTTTAGATTGAAGGAACCTAAGCTCACCATGATGACTGCAGGATAGGTCAGAATGTATCCTTCTCATAATATGAAGCTTTATTTGTATAAATAAAAATTACCATACGTAAATTGTAATTTTGTCTGCTTTGCATTGAAATTAGTCATAGCCCAAGACATGAAGTGTCTAAAATAAATGTGCACAGTTCAGCTGAACTGTATGCTTTGCACAATATTAACAAACTGTACACGGAAACAAAATAACCAGAACATTAATAACCGATAGAGCTCGTGGTTTATCTGTCAGTCAGATGCGCTCTCGGCCACTGATCTATGCTCGGGACGTTTTCTTTTATAATTATCATTGGCTGATAGAAATAGTATATTAGATGGAAATAAGATCAAGACCCTTGATCTGTTCTGTCGTGCTGCGCTCAAAATTGTGGACAAGCCACTGAAGCCCGGTGCACCGTGAATACCCCCATCTCCTAAACTATCTGTCCGAATCAGGAAACTAATCCCACCTCGAAGCCCTTTTAGCGAGCATGAGGGAGGCGGATGTGCTTCTCACACGGAAGGCCGCATCCTAAAACTCAGATGATCAGGGGCCTGCCGACTCGTTTTCTTTCCGTTTATTTTCGTGCATTTAAATGTGTGCAGCCTTCTGTTTGAGAGACACCCAGATGAGCTTTGTTGAACTGAAAGGCTCTGAATTGGCGAACACTGTCAATCAAACTCATCAACTCATCACATTTGATTTATTTGAGTTTGTTATAATAGTTCTCTAATTGTGTTAAAATAGATTAAACAATAATAATTTAACACATATTATATGTGTATAATACACTGGGGGGCCTTTCGTCAGAGTGGGCGGCCTTTGCCCCTGGTGGCACTGATATATTTTAAGCTCGTTCAGTGCAAGTTTCTTTCAGTTGAAACAGCTTTAGTCTGGGACTAGGTTTAAGCCTTGTCTGTGAAACCGGGGGATTATGTCTATAGAACGTCCCAGTAAAACAGAAATGTGTGTGTGTAATGTTACTGTGTGTGTGTGTTGTGTGCAGGACTGAAAGCTCCCACCACTATCACGGTGACGTTGCGCGGGCAGCCCAGCAGAGTTCCCGCTTTCAGCCACACAGGGGCGCTCCAGACCACCAGGTGTGTGACCCGCCTACACACACCGACACACACACATACACGGCACACACACACCTGACACACACACACACACACATACACGGCACACACACACAAACACCGGCACACATACACACACCGACACACACACCTGACACACACACACACACGCACCGACACACACAGACACCGACACACAGACACACACACACATACACGGCACACACACACAAACACACCGGCACACACACACACACACACACCTGACACGCACCGACACACACACACACACACACACACACACACACACACACACCACACACACACACACACCCACACACACACACATACATCGACTCTCTCCACCGCTGAACTCCATCATCATCCCAGCACACACTCCTCTCCACAGCTGACCCACCGACACACACACACACTGAGTTTCTGAGTAGCAGAGCCAAACAGAACAGCAGGTCGCTTCACCGTGGCTTTAGGCCTCTCTCTGCTTTGACTCACGCTCGACAAATTAGAGGAGCTCATCAAAGTCATTTAGGATTTTCATTAACATTGATTAGTCCGTTTAGGGGAGTTTTATCCTTTTTTTTCTCTCTGTCAGATGATGTTTACTCGCTCTGCAGTGTGTCGTCGGAGCGGTTGCTGTAGTAACCGTCTCATTGAGCATGCAGAGAGATGAGGTGTAATTATTTGCTTAATCACTCTGAAGTGAATTATATGCTTGTCATTTTTGTTTTGGATCAGCTTAGGTATTCGTAATTCTTTGGCTCATTTAAGAATGCTTGTGAGTCATAAAAATACTACGACTGCACTGACCACAGTGTAACTTTAGTTCAGTAAACTATGTAGAGATGTATTTGAGTGGTTTTACAGGAACAAGAGTCACCGCTGAATGGGTTAAATGAATGAATGTCATATTATCAAAATGTGTTACTAAATTCACATCACTATAATGTTTCCTCGTGGTTTACTGTTGAGGGTTTATTTGTAATTCTCTTTAATTTCACAATTATTGTTATATGGGTCACCTGATGTGATTCTCTCATTAATATGTATTATTATTATTATAATTATTATTACAATTCATATAATATATTGTGTTATTTTAATTACGTTATAAGAATTTATCTCAAATATATTACTGGCTTCAGAATTTTTGGTTCCAGTAATATATAATACTTTAAAACTGACAATACATCAAAAATGACACATTTATACACACAATTATGTTTATTAATTTATATAAATATATTTCAATTTATATGCAACACATTTAGGCTACATGGCTTTCTATAACAAATAAATGCAAAAAATAAAAGATAAAATAAAGTCAAACGTAAGTGGGTCTATATGTAAAAAAATAAATAATATAAAATCTGTTGTCTTTATAAGAAATATGATCACTATGAGTACTGTATTATATAGTTATGGTCATGTGATCAATCAATATTTTATCTTGCAGTGACCAGAAACTCTGAAATGGGCTTCATTCACACTTCCAATGAGCATCCAAAGATGAAGCCAGAGGAATCAAACCGGGGTTGAAGACTAAAAAGACTGCTGATTTGCCTTACAACCTGCAAGAGCGCCATCTATAGACACTTTCTTGCTCACATGGACTGAAAACTTGACTTAATCATTTGTCTATTTTTTATTATTTCCCTTATTCTGTTACACTCTGGCTGTACAACACAATGGGAAATTTTCCTATTGTATTTAGTATTATTATTATTATTATTTGTCCCCCCCCCCCATTTTAATATATTTTTCCACACACCAATTCTTTATGTGAACAGACTGTATTCTTAACACCCCATTCATAAGGAAGTCGTGGCCTAATGGTTAGAGAGTCGGACTCATAACCCAAAGGTTGTGGGTTCGAGTCTCGTACCGGCAGGGATTGTAGGTGGGAGTGAATGTACAGCGCTCTCTCCCACCTTCAATACCACGACAGTGGTGCCCGTGAGCAAGGCACCGAACCCCCAACTGCTCCCCGGGTGCCGCAGCATAAATGGCTGCCCACTGCTCCGGGTGTGTGTTCACGGTTTGTGTGTGTTCACTGCTGTGTGTGTGCACTTTGGATGGGTAAATAATTCAGAGCACTAATTCCGAGTATGGGTCACCATACTTGGCCACGTCACTTCACTTTTCACTTTTATATAAAATTTTAGATTTGTTTGCTTTGCACAGAAGCCCAGCAGAGCCTGTGCTTTATTTCCTCACAACCATAAAGAGCCTGAGAGAAATGGATCATTAAACTGTCAAAATACTGGTAATAAATTCAAGACGTTTAGAAGACGACATGAGAGCTTTTTAATTGATTTTTTTGCACGTTTTGAATGTCGTGCATCAATGCATCGATCTTTCCTCACCACATCAGGATGTAGCTGTCCTTCAAATAACCGTTATGATTATGCCAATGTGCAGAGACGTGCACAGACGTTTTGAGGGGCAGGGGCTCAAGTGGAAAAAGGGCACTTCTCATATTTATTTAAATTTTTTTCTAAACAAAACGTTAAATCTATTAACACAGCTCTGACTCACCAATTCATTTGAATTCTCTCACACTCACCCAATTGCTTCATGTTGTTTCATTTTTCAACAGCTCTAACGGAAAGGACATTTCCAAAATAGCCTCAATACAGTTTGCCTGGAGGGCTCAGGAGGACATTCCTGGATGATCAGGACACACAACTCTTCTGAGAATAATAAATCCAGGTTGACATCCAGGTGTGATCCTTTTCAGATTATTTCCAGGATTGTGTACATCAAAATTGATTATACTCTCGAAAGAATTTCCAGTGAAGGATTTGCATAATGAAATTTGTTGTGCAACACAAAGATGGTTTTAATCTCAGCAAGTTCGGAGACTAACACAGCTTTCTAGACATGAGGTTTCCACCTGAAGGATAAAGATGAAACTTAAGTCAATAAAAGCTTGAGGTGCAAATGCTTGACGCATAGTGGATTTGCATGAGAAACGTAAAAACCTTTCAGAACAGAAATACAAATAATTCCCTTGCTTTAACCTCTGATTCATATCAAACAGGATATACACGCTTGACTACAATCACAAAACATAACTGTTTATGTCAAGTTGGGTTATTGTCCAAACATTGACTCAAAATGGGAAGTCACAGAAAGCACTAATTGTTTACAATCAATGTGTCTTTCCACATCTTAGAAGTCAGACACTTCTATGACGCATTGAAATCGTGATGAAATGTTTTCAAGACTTTGGTTTCACATTATGACCACTATCTCCCCAGAATTCAAGCCGTTCAGTTGTTTCAATATCAACAATCAGGACAGACACTCAAACAGTTACGATTAACAGGTTTCCTTATTCTTTATTCTACTAACTGAAAATGTTCACCACTCTAATGGCTCTGGAAAAATGTCATTAAAAAAAAAAAAATATATATATATATATATATTAGTGCTGT